CCCCGCCCTTATCCATTTCATCTCACATAGTTTTTGCCTAAATTATATATTTTCCAAAAAAAATATTTTTTGCTACCTAACAAACACCAGAAAATAAGTAAAAAAATGACTTATTTTCCAAGAAAATATTTTTCAGGAATACATTTTCCTCCCTACCAAACACACCCTATATGTGCGCGCAATTTCATGTGAATGTCCATATGGTAAAGTTAATTGAGTGAAAACCATGTTAATTGAGATGTAGGGAAATTGATGTTGGTTTCAATTGGTTGTCCGGAAATGATTCCGAGCGTGAGGGGACCTGTTTTTTCGGAATTGATATATGATTCTTGTTTGCTTTTTGACAGCCATGGTTGGTGATGTGAACATATACATGAATGACTTGGATGATCCCCAAATGGCTGAAGTCGAGATTATGATAGCTGAGCCAAAGAGGTAGACATGCTTTTGTATCTCCAATTTGCTTCATTGACTTTTAATGTTGCGGCACTAGTTGATCCGTTCCTCCACCTTAAAAAAACTTTTTCTTTTGCAATATTAGGTTCCTATCTACAGTTTTGATTTTGGAGTAAAAATTGGTCTGTCATTGAGTGGATAATTATGACTTGTTTCTCAAAAGCTATTTCACCAGTAAGGATTAGGGCGAAGAAGCATTTACTGTGTTAGCCTTGGATTTTCCGTATCCTCTGTCCTCTGTCCTTGGACTCTCTTTTTGATTGAGCACAATTCATTGCATGAAATTTTCTTGTGACTTTTGAGCGAAGAAAATGTATGAAGTGGATGTAAGAAGCTAGAATGCCTTTTTAGTGCTTTTGGCTAATAGTTCTTACTTTTGGGCTGACGCTGGATTCTCAAGTGCATCAGAGGTTCACTTTCGGCTTGTTATTTCTTCTTTTTTAGATCATCTCTAGTTAATACTTTCTCATGCACATCAGTTTCCTGTTTCATCTGTAATGTATGAAGCAGCTGAAATCTGTTTTGCTTTTTTCTGATGCTGAAACTTATTTCTGATAGCTCAAAGACTGAATCACCACTACTAGAATTTCATTTCCTTGGAAATCCATGAGAAACTATTTGTGTATCCCTTTTTTTCCTGGCTCCAGCACAAGATACGCGTATGATTATTTTGTTGCTTCTTATTGATAGTTTGTCATTTACATCCTTCTTATAGGCGAGTCTTTTACTATTAAGATTTTAACGTGCGTTTCCAGATGTTTCTTAAGATCGTTACAGACATGTTAAACTTTAGGAGTAATCTCTGTCAATGATGTATTTCTCATACTCCCGTGTTTGTTGCAAGTTTGATGTATTTCTCATACTTCTGTGCATGTCACAAGTTCATTTGGATATATTTGTTCGTATGTTGTCAATGTCCCTACAGATTTTTGTATTTCACTGACTAATTATCAATTTCTTATGGTGCTCTTGCTAGTATAGTCGTGGCAAAGGACTTGGGAAAGAATCTGTTCTCATGATGATGGCATTTGCAGTTGATAATTTCAAGATACATACCTTCTGCGTCAAAATTGGAGAGTTAAATCAAGCCTCTCTCGGTCTATTCCAAAACTTGGTATCTCTGTGTAAACCCCAACATGCACATCAATATGATCCTTTTACATGCAAATTTGTTTAAAAAAGAAGATGTAAATTTAGATGTACAGAGCTGACAAGATACCTCAAATGCTTTTGCAGGGTTTCAAAGAGACCTCTTACAGTAAAATCTTCAACGAGGTGAGGGGAGAGTTCTCTTTTTCATTTTCTCAATAATGAATTGTTGGCTGATCTGGAGACATCCTCTCACGCCCTTATGGGTTAAATACTCCTCAAATGAGAATTTAGCAGATGGAATCTTAAAACCTTTGTAGCAAAAATTACAACTTAAACTATTCTGCGTCTAAATTGGTTCAGGCTTTGTAAATCTTAAACTTGTCAACTTAGTCCAAAAAAGAGGCTGAATCAAAATCTCCTTCTTGCCAAGTTGCCCTCTTGTTCTTTTGGCTTATTGAGTTGAGTTGTTGACATCTAAATAAAAATATGTTGTGCAGATGACCTTGGAGTTGCCAATGACCGAGTCAAAGAATTGTGAGCTACATCAATTAATTGGCAATATGGTTACACATTCATAGCACCTTGTGTATGCTGAAGACATAGTCAATGTGCGGTGAGCTGCATCGGTTAATTGACAACATGGTTATACGTTCATATTACCCAGATAAACCATCCCCTTCAGTGTTGAGTATAGTTTCATCCAAAGACTGTTGAATCAACGTTTGCGACTTGTACTGATTTTTCACTATGTCTGGAAAATAGGCGCAACTTCTTTCACAGTTATTTTTATTCTTGACATTTTGGACCTGATCTGAATTACTGGATGAAACCAAAAGATGACTATTAATTCATTTCTTTGATAAGTCAAAAAACAAAGATGACTATTTTTTTGATTGAAGGTGCGGGGATGATAATGAATGCATCTGAGGGATGTTGGCAAGTATTTTATACTCCCATTCTGTCTGAAAAGAACACCTAATATGTAGAAGGGTTAGGGGGGAATCTGATGTTTCTTATCAGCTATTTTGAGGTAGAAAATGGGATGTAAGATAAATCATACCAACAATCATTTCTTTAAAAAAACGACTTTTCATTCTTTTGATACCTAGTTTTTATACAACAATCATTTCTTTAACATTCTTATCTTCAATGTTTGTGTTTCGTTTTTTATCAAACCCCCAATGGCCAATCCTTCTACTTAGTTTTTATCCAACAATCAGTCTTTAACCGTTTTGTTTTCAATGTTTGTGTTCGTTTTTCGTCGAACTCTCAAGCCACTCTCACATGTGGTTTCAATAGACTTTTCTTTCTTTGGTTGTTCAGATGTTTTAGTTCACTAAGTTTGAAAAGATTAAAGAGCATGGGACAATTAGGGAATTTAGATACCACTTCTCCGTTGGAAATTTATAATTAGGGCTTAAAATGTGTAACTTTTTCAAAAATATACTACTAGTTTGATTTACAAAACTCTGCCGTTTCCAATTAATAAATAAACTTAGAAGTCGCTAATACAAAGGTTCTCTACTTCTATATGACACACAAAGAAGAAAGAAAAAGAGTTTGCAAGAGGATTTCTAGCAAGGTATGACTTTTAGAAGTTTAACACTAAGAAAATAGTTTTTATGCACCTTACTTAATCAGACGACATTTGTAGCCAACACTATTGGCAAGGAAGAAAAAGATATTTGCTTGTGTCTAATGAATGAGGGAATTTGAAAGTGTCATTCTCATATTTCTTTATGCACCTTACTTTTTTCCTTCCTATTTGCATCAACATTCCTATTGTTGAACTTTGAAATAATTCTGGTTTAATGACTCATCTATATATATATATATATATATATTTATAGAAGAGGAAACTGGGTCAAAATAAGCTGCTGCCTAGACAATTACTAAAATATTCTGAAATATCTTTTCAATGATTACTCCAACAAAATTTTTAAAAAAAATACAAAATCATTCGCCATTTTCCGCATTTACCTAAACTAAAAGAGCCACCAGATCAATTTTAAAACAATTTGAATCAAAAATATAATTTAAAACAGACCCTTACAACTTTTCCGGTACATTTGGAAATTGATTAAATAAATTTCTTAAAAGTTTTTCATAAGCCACACAATTCAAAATTTATCAGGAGAAGAAACTCCATTTTAGCGCATTCTCCCAAATATTCAAATCTTCATCGTGTTTGTGATCTTCATTCGCCAGAAAGTCTACACATTGTCTTACTTCGCCCCCCTCCAAATATGTTTGATAATTGTCTTACTTGCATTCACTTTTTTTGCTCATCTCTATAAATCCCTTCAAAAGCAGCATCTGCCTTTTTTTTTTTTTTTTTTTTTTTTTTTTTTTTTTTTTTTTTGTAGATTTGATAGTTGAGATTACCAATAGCATTTTTTATTCAAGATATTCTTGTAATTTAATCTTTGACCTGTTAAAACTAAAACAATACAATCAGTCCCTAGCTTGCATTGCAATCAAGAAATTAAAGACAATATTGAAGAAAGGAGACAAGTAATTAAGATATCTGGTTATTATATCATATGATATAACTAGTATTTCGCGAGAGAAAATGAGTCCATAGTAACTAACGAGGCAAAGTGTAAGATGCCATCTTAAAAGCATTCAAGAAACAGAATCACAAAATAAGTTCGTTAGGTTTGACCTACAAATTGCTCAATAGGTTGGACTTTTTGTTGGTTTTTCCATTTAAGTAGACCAATTACGCCGAATTACTAAATTTATTAACCAACTAAATTCCAACGTAACTCCAGTTTTCTCATTTTCAACTTCCCCCCTCCAATTTTGGTTCTTGTTTGATTAAATACAAGCAAATAATAATTTTGATGATACCATTAGGTGAATAGTAGGGACTCCAATAATAAAATGTCAAATCATAAACAACCCCTTAAAGCGCATAAATTTTTATTTAGACACCTCAACTTAAACCTTTACCTATTGACACTCCAATATGAGTAATTGCATGACTATCAAACACAATAGGCTGACTTGGCAAAAAACTACTAGTTCTGAACTTTAATTAGTCTGAAATTATACACATATCTTTGAGCACTTTATATTTAACACATTTGAAGGACACTTCACCAATGACTACGGTTGATAGCAACAATTAAACTTTAGCATATGCAATCACATACACTTCCCTTTACTTATGCCATACTTCAATATTTACAACAAGGACAACATGCTCATAACAATCTTATCCTCAAAAACCGACTCACTGTCATCAGGGGCGGAGCTAGAGTGTCCCGAGCGGGTTCGGCCGAACCCAGTAGCTTTGGTTTAAACCCTGTATTTGTCTTAAAAATTTATTGAATATATATAGATTATTAATTTAGAACCCAGTGGCTTAAAACGACTAGAATTCCGAACCCATAAACTTGAAATTCTGACTCCGCCTCTGACTGTCATAATGCACTCATGAATTGAACACCCAACATCATAGAGAAGTCTAATAACGTTACCTATCCCTCGTGAAACCATGTGCCCTTACAACAACAACAACAAGAGAATAAGTTGAATCTACACATTCAAATCAAGTGCTCAAATATATTTTAAAGACTCACATATATCAAAGAAAATCGCCCACTCTCACAAATAAGTCACATGCATGCAATTGGTACCATAGGCTTGCCCATACTGTAAATCTCTACTAATATAGGCTCGCTTGATCTAAAATCAATTAAAACTTTTTACGGTTGTAATGTGGGCTAAGAGACGAGTATCATATATTAAGGAATAGTGGCTCACCCTCCTAAACACTTTAACACATCACATAATTAATTTTAAGCACATATTTTTCAATTCCAACTTCAATTTCACAACTAAAATCACCCCAACAATATTTTCTCTTTCTTTAAGCACTACTTTAATTTATACCCAACTAGCACGAAGAAGATATTAATTTATTCATCTACTTATTTTTTCTTTCTTTTTCTTCCTTTTTTTGTTTTTTTATAATACTCGCTAGCGGTGTATCTCTTACAACATAAGTGCACCTTTTTTTTTTTCATTCATTTGTTCCACCCAAAAGCCACCCAATTTTTTTCCTTATTTGTTTTAGCGCTCATTTTACAATTAAAGTACTTTATAAGGTAAAAGGATCAAAACAATATTAATTAAAAATAAAAAGGGTATATGCTTGTAATGTGGGTGCCAAATAAAAGTCTATAGGTTTAAAAGGGTTAACTAGGGATAAATTTTATTTGTGATAAGCAATAAAGCTCAAAAACATCAAAGAAAGCCTAAAATTATTTTTCAAACCGAGCATCACCTAAAATTTCACTTCAACTCATATGCCAGGCAAGTTCTAGACTCAATTATAATTACATGGAATATACAAAAGTCTCACCATACACGGTACATGACTTATTAAGAATGGTCCCAATCCGACTCTCAAACTAATGCAAGTATTCACAGAGTCATAAGATATTAAGCATAAAGCACAAAGTGAATACAAGTCAAGAAAATGAGACATAGGCGTCATAAAATATGCTATTTAATTAAACACGGTATCATGAACAATTTTAACATATAGAAAAGATTATACACATGTCAAAGCCTAAATATGCTACTATCAAATAATTCAAGAGCACCTAGATTCATCATTCTTCCTCCATTTATTCCCTCAATTCTAATCTACTCTAAGAAAGAAAAAAAATTATCCGGTTCAAGCTACATCCCATGGAAAAGAACCGATGCACAAAGAAAAATCACAGGGGATTATTAGTATCTAAGAAAATAAAAAAGGCATACTTTTGTGTTTTTCTATTTTTCAGTTTTTTTGTGTGTATTTTTTGTTAGACTTTAATCCCTCAAGAAAACTGCCTAGGAGATCCATCATCGGAAAAAGTCCAATATTTTTAAAATAATTTCTAATTTTCTTTATTTTTATTAAAAATTAAGTTACTAAACTACTACTAAAATACTACAATACTAGCTCTACTAATTAAGACAACCAAAATAAGAATCTAAAATTAAAAATAAGAAGTTAACATACTAACATAATATTACTAATTATCTAAAGAAATTTTTTCACCCCACACTTAAAAAAGTGCAGTGTCCCCAATGCACAAATAAAATAAAAAAATAACGAAGGTGGATAAGAAACTCCTTAAAAAGACAAAGGCCGAAACAGTTGCGCTCATGGGGTACTCAGACTTCTCCCGCGTATGATCTTTTTTGTGGGAGTACCCCACACTTAGTCCCTATCATCTGACTCGCTTTTGCACATTTTCAATGGTTCTGCTTCTATACTCATAATCCTACAAAAAAAAAATACTACAAAAATAATATAATCTATTTATATATAAAAGGAGAAGCAAAAGCATGTAATGATGCCAAATGGCATAATCACAATTAAACAAGTGTTATTTTTTTGGACACATCTCCAATAAAGTTGGAGTTTAAAATTATTTGAAACTAAAAATAGGTAAAAAAGATTCAACCATACGAATTCACAAAAAAGATTGATACTGCCTGCCATATTAGGCAGTTATTTTATTTATTTATAAGACTTGGAAATTAAGAAAAAAAAATATTTCTCTTTTGAAACTAGAAAATAGGCCCACAAAAAAATATTCAACCTACACATTCACAAAAATGGTTACTTCCCATTGTTATTTAAAAAAAAAAAAAGAGTAGTCGTGAGGATGAAACCCACGACTCATCATCTACCAAACGTGGGGTTCAACAACAATTCTAAACTAACTCAAACATGACGCACGATTTATGCGGTTTCATATGTTAAATTCCTTTTTCAATACTTATTTTCTCTGTTCAGTACTATAACAACATTGCAAATATGGCTACAATCAGACAAATTTCAAGCATCAATGCAATTGAATCTGACTTGGAGTCGCTCGAATGTGAAAAATC